CAAGGTTCTGGGGGGGGAAGGGGGGGTGGGGGGGGGCTCAGAGGGGGGGAGTTGGGGGACAAGGAGCAGGGAGGCTTAGGTAGGGGGTGGAGTCCTGGGGGGCAGTTAGGGGAGGGGTCCCAGGAGGGGGCAGTCAGGGGACAAGGAGTGGGGGAGGAGGGTTGGGGGTTCTGAGGGGGGTGGGAAGTGGGAGGGAGTGGAAGGGGCAGGGGCGGAGCTAGGGCAGGACGGGGGCAGGGCTCCTCCCATCCTCTTTTTTGATCGTTGAAATATGGTAACCCTACATAAAGTTCCCTAAAAATGGGGTATTTTGAATTGAGGGTTAATTGAAATGGAAATTTAGCAAGTACTTGAATTTACTAGAGAACTGCCACAGCGTAGTGAGCATGTAATAAATAAAAGGGGGTGGGGGTGGGAAGCTCCCTTCCAGGTAAAGGAAAAGGAGTGGGCACCTGACCAAAACAGCCAATGGGAAGCTAGAACTTTTTAAAATGGGGGGAAAAAACCTTCCTTTTTGTCTGTTGTTCTCTGGAGGAGGAGACACAGAGCATCAATGCTACAAGCAGTAATGCGATGTAAGGCTTGAACCAGATATAAAAATTCATCTTCCATACCTAGAAGAAATCATTGGACAAGGTATGTTTAAGTAGACACAATGAGGTTTATTTCTTTATTTTGACTTGTGGCTCAAGGGTTTTTTTTACCCCCATTTAAAAAGTTCTAGCCTCCCATTGGCTCTTTTGGTCAGATGCTCATTCCTTTTCCTTTACTTGGGGAACTTTGTTAACCCTTTACAGGTAAAGCAAGCAGAAAACAGCCACTAAGAGGGACTTTATAGCTAACTGGCTGGGTGCTCATGAAAGAGAGCTCTCTTCCCCCCCCCCAGCCCCCTTTTCATTTATTACACTAACCAACACTGCACGTGTGATTGAGCCACTGAGTCCTGAGCACCGCTTTACCGAGCCAGCGACAGGCAGGGGAGGAAGCTCAGGCCGGGGCTGGGGAGGCTGATTGCTAGGACCGGATTACAGGGCTGGACGGCCCGGATGGGCTCTGGGAACGTTAAGGGTTCAGGATAGGAGTTGAGGCAGCCAGCGCGGGGGAGTCTATGGAAACTTGCTAAGAAGAAAATGCGACCTTGCGGTGGGAAGTTGGCCGCGCCGGGCCGGCCAGGCCGGGCCGCGCCGGGCCAGCCCTTCCAGCCCCGCCCCGCCCCAGCGGCAGCTCCGCGCAGCCCGTCCCATCCCCGCCGCGCTGGGGGCAGGAGCTGCCCGGCCGGGCTGCTGGCGCCCCAGGAGTGCGGGGCAGGGCTCGCCGGGCTGTGCCTGCGCCCAGGCTGCCCCCCGCTGCGGGCGTCGGGACATCGCCTAGACCCGCCCTAGCAGCGCTGCCGAGCACCGGCCCGGCCCTGTCGCGACTCTCGCGATACACAGCGGGTGTGAGAGCCCCGCTCCAAGAGCCCTGACCTCGGCTCAGCAGTCCCGGCAGCCGCCACATCTCGGTCCCGGGTCTCAGACGCCACCACGCGAGAGACTACAGAGAGGAGACGTCAGGGGTAGAGGGGCCCCGCAGAAACCATGGAGAAGGAAAGTGAGGACTAGAGGGAGCCAAATGAGCCCATAGAGAGGCAGTGTGAAGGCTAGATGGGACACACCAGAGAGGGTGTGTGAAGGATAGAACACCTCCGAAACCATAAATAAGGTGCGTAGACCAGAGGGACCATAGAGAGGCAGTATCTAGAATAGACTAAGCCAGAACCATAAAGGAGGCACATAGGCTAGAGGAGCCATATGCCATAGAGAGGAAATCCCGGGCCCTGGAGAGACAGACTGCTGAGAGAACCTGAGGTTGCAGGCCAATCGGCCCCACTCGCACGGAGACTGGCAACGTGCGGGCTGTGGGGCCCTGTAGGACCGGTGGGTGGCTGGAGCAGGAGCCCATTCACCCAGGTGATGGTGGCTGATAGGGTTCCTAACTTTCTAATGGCACAAAACTAAACACCTTTGCCCCATCCTTTCTCTGAGGCCCTGACCCCAGTTTATTACATTTCCCCCTCCCTGGGGTGCAGGAGGGGGTGAGGTTCTAGGGTTGGGATAAGGGTTTGGGGTACAGGAGGGGGCTCCATACTTCAGGGAGGGGTTGAGGGATTTGGAGGGTGGGAGGGGGCTGTGGGTTGAGGTGTGGCGGGGGTATGGGTTCTGGGCTGGGGGTGCAGGCTCTGGGATGGGGTTGGGGATGAGGGGTTCAGATGTGTGAGGGGGCTCTTGGATGGGGTTGGGGTGTGGGGGGTTGAGGGCTCTGGCTGGGGGTGCAGGCTCTGGGATTGGGCTGGGGGTGAGGGATTTGGAGTGCAGGAGGGGGCTCTGGGTTTGGGGGGGGTCAAGTCTGGGCATGGGCTTACCTCATGCATTCCTGGTCACTGGGGCTAAGGGAGGCTCTGTGCCTGTCCCAGCTCCGCGCTGCACTATAGCAACAGCCAGGCCCGATCCCGGCTGGCAACACTTTACGTGGAGTCCCGCCCCTAGATGAGACACAGGCCCAGGGACGCGGCTGCCCAGTGCCCTCTGAGTGTGCATCAGCACTGGGAGCCTGACCCCCTCCCTCCTCAGCATGGCCAGCCAGGCTCCAGAGCGAACATGGCCTGGTTGCGGTGGGCGGGCTCGCAGGGCTGCTGCAGTGACTCAGCCCCTGCTGCTGGCACCGCACACCTGGCTGAGTATAGTGCTATCTGTAGGAATTTGCTACCTGTAGCGGTTACTCATGTAAGGGATTGTAAAAAAAATCTGCTGTTGTAAAAAACTGTTATCTGATGTACCAAATTCCTACAGATGGCAGTTTCTCACACTACACCAGCAGGGCCTGAGGGCAACACCTGCACCACAGTGGCTGAACTGGACTGAGGCTGGTATGGGTGCTGCAGAGAAGGTGTGTTCTCTTGCCCCCAGCCAGTGGCTGGCTCTGCCCCAAAGCAGGAAGGGTGTGTTATGTGGTTCAGTGAGGCCATGGATGTTCTCATCCTTGTGAATGTCTGAGTCCCTGAATCCGGCCAACGCAACTCCAGCGGCCTCGTCAGCTTGTGCTGGGAGTAGGGCCATAGCCCTCAGTGGTAGTCTGCAAAGAGAGGCTATCCTCTCTCTGCACAAGGAGGTGGGTGCAACAGGAGAGGCCTCCTGATTCATACTGAGAAAGGGCAATTGGCTAGTTATCTTCGGTGCCTGTACACAAATGCAAGAAGCCTGGGAAATAAGCAGTAAGAGGTAGAAGTCCTGGCACAGTCAAGGAACTATAATCTGAGTGGAATAACAGAGACTTGGTGGGGTAACTCACATGACTGGAGCACTGTCATGGATGGGTATGAACAGTTCAGGAAGGACAGGCTGGGGAAAAAAGGTGGAGAAGTTGTACTGTATGAAAGAGCGCAATATGATTGCTCAGAGCTCCAGTATGAAACTGGTGAAAAGCTTGTTGACAGTTTTTGGGTTAAGTTTAGAGGTGAGAGCAACAAAGATGATGTCCTGGTGGGCATCTGCAGTAGACCACCGGACCAGGAGGATGAGGTAGACAAGGCTTTCTTCGGACACTAACAGAAGTTTCTAGATCACAGGTCCTGGTTCTCATGGAGGACTTCAGTCATCCTGATATCTGCTGGGAGAGCAATACAGCAGTGCACAGACAATCCAGGAAGTATAGGGGACAATTTTCTGGTGCAAGTGCTGGAGGAACCAACTAGGGGCAGAGCTCTTCTTGACTTGCTGCTCACAAACAGGGAAGAATTAGTAGGGGAAGCAAAAGTGGATGGGAAGCTGGGAGGCAGTGACCATGAGATGGTTGAGTTCAGGATCCTGACAAAAGGAAGAAAGGAGAGCAGCAGAATACAGACTCTGGACTTCAGAAAAGCAGACTTTGACTCCCTCAGGGAACTGATGGGCAGGATCCCCTGGGAGAATAACATGGGGGGAAAGGAGTCCAGGAGAGCTGGCTGTATTTTAAAGAAGCCTTATTGAGGGCGCAAGAGCAAACCATCCTGATGTGCAGAAAGAATAGTAAATATGGCAGCCGACCAGCTTGGCTTAACAGAGAAATCTTCAGTGAGCTTAAATACAAAAAGGAAGCTTACAAGAAATGGAAACTTGGACAGATGACTAGGGAGGAGTATAAAAATATTGCTTGAGCAATCAGGAATGCCAGTGCACAGTTGCAGCTAGCAAGGTATGTGTAGGGTAACAAGAGGGTTTCTACAGTTATGTTAGCAACAAGAAGGTGGTCAGGGAAAGTGTGGGACCCTTACTGAATGGGGGAGGCAGCCTTGTGACAGATGATGTGGAAAAAGCTGAAGTACACAATGATTTTTTTGCCTTGGTCTTCACAGACAAGGTCAGCTCCCAAACTGCTGCACTGGGCAGTATAGTATGGGGAGGAGGTGAACAGCTCTCAGTGGTGAAAGAACAGGACTATTTAGAAAAGCTGGACATGCACAAGTCTATGGGGCCAGATGCAATGCATCTTAGGGTGTTGAGAGAGTTGGCTGATGTGATTGCAGAGCCATTGGCCAAGGGCAAGTCATGCCTGACCAATCTGATTGCCTTCTATGATGAGATAAGTGGCTCTGTAGATATGGGTAAAGTGGTGGACGTGATATACCTTGACTTTAGCAAAACTTTTCATACGGTCTCCCACAGTATTCTTGCCAGCAAGTTAAAGATGTATGGATTCGACCACCTTGCGGGCCCCATTGGCCTGGAGCGGCAAACCGCAGCCAGTGGGAGCTGCGATCGACTGAACCTGCAGAGATGGCAGGTAAACAAACTGGCCCGCCTGGGTGCTTACCCTGGCAGGCCGCGGCCAAAGGTTGCCGATCCCTGGACTATAAGGTGGATAGAAAGCTGGCTAGATCGTTGTGCTCAATGGATAGTGATTAATAGCACGATGTCTAGTTGGCAGCTGGTATCAAGCGGAATTCCCCAGAGGTCGATCCAAGGGCCGGTTTTGTTCAACATCTTCATTAATGATCTGGATGATGGGATAGATTGCACCCTCAGCAAGTTCACGGATGACACTAAGCTGGGGGGAGAGGTAGATACGCTGGAGGGATAGGGTCCAGAGTGACCTAGACAAATTGGAGGATTGGGCCAAAAGAAATCTGATGAGGTTCCACAAGGACAAGCGCAGAGTCCTGCACTTAGGACAGAAGAATCCCAGGCACTGCTACAGGCTGGGGACCGACTGGCTAAGCGGCAGTTCTGCAGAAAAGGATCTGGGAATTACAGTGGACGAGAAGCTGGATATGAGTCAGTGTGCCCTTGTTGCACGTTGGGCTGTATTAGTAGGAGTATTGCCAGCAGATCGAGGGAAGTGATTATTCCCCTCTATTCGGCACTGGTGAAGCCACATCTGGAGTATTGTGTCCAGTTTTGGGCCCCCCACTACAGAAAGGATGTGGACAATTTGGAGAGAGCCCAGCAGAGGGCAACAATTAGGAGGCTGTGGCACATGTCTTATGAGGAGAGGCTGAGGGTACTGGGCTTATTTAGTCT